TATCAGCTCAGTTCCCTTTTTTCGGGCTCCAAAGTCTGTAGGTCCCTGTTGGGGAGCGGGGAAGCTGCTGTGTTTGGAACCCTAACAAAAAGCAGGATGAAAGCCTTTTTCGGGCTCCAAAGTCTGTAGGTCCCTGTTGGGGAGCAGGGAAGCTGCTGTGTTTGGAACCCTAACAAAAAGCAGGATGAAAGCCCGGCATCACTGCCTTCACTTCACATCTGCCTCGGTTACTGTAGGTCCCGTGCTCACCTCTGCACCTGTAGGCATGTAAATCACTTAAGGAGTGTCTATCTAAAAACCAGTGATCCCTAACCTATTTCAGCCCTTTAAGACTGACTTCACCAGTCAGGAGTGCAGGAGCTCGAAGGTGTGGTAGGCCAGGACAAGCAGCCCAGAGAAAAGAAAAATTATCTAAATTTTGGATTGACCCCTCAGGTAATGGCAATCATTCACAGCAGAAGCAATTTATCAGCAGTAATGCTTGTTTTGGGGGTTTTGTTTGTTTATTTTGAGACAGGGTCTTATGTAGTCTAAGCTGACCTCAAACTCAGACATGCAGCTGAGGATGACATTGAACTTCTGATCTTCCTGCCTCTATCTCCTGAGTGCTGGGATTATAGGCATGTGCCACCATGCCTGGTTTATGCGGTGCTTAAGGACCAAACCTATGGCTTCGTGCATATTAGGCCAACAGTCTATCAACTGAACTAATATGCACTGCAACAGTATCTCATAGGACCACCTTTCAGGATTTGAGCTGAGGCAGTGATGGATGGGACTACATCTGGAAAAGGACTGATTACTTTTGCATTGCATCCTGTCCCAATACTTCCTCTTTTGAACCTAAAACTCATTGATAGGGAAGGTTAAGCAGGGAGAGAGGGAATGAAAGGGCCCGCTGTAGCCAGCTCCTTCCCAGGCACGGCTTCAGATGGCTGAATACCAGTAACTGGCTTCCTCAGAGCCCAATTGCCTAGTCAGTGGCTGCTAATAGCTTTTTCCATGGAGACAACAGGAACTTCCCTTACTTAGCTGGACAGCGCCAGAGCCCTCCAGTGATAAGGAAGAAATCCCATTTTACAATCTCCAGAAGACCAGCTTGGAGCCAGAAGGTGGAAAGAAACACAACACACCACAAAGCATGATAAGAATGTGGGTGGGGGCTGGGCATTCTAGCACACACCTTTGATCTTAGCACTGGGAGGCAGAGGCAGGTGGATCTCTGTGAGTTCAAGGACAGCCAGAGCTACATAGTGAGTTACAAGTCAGCCAGAGCTACGTAGTGAGATCCTGTCTGAATGTAAGAAAGTGTAATGAGATATGTATGAGAAGGCCCTCTCTCAACACGTTGCTTGTAGGCCTCAATGCTAAGCAGAATGCAGCTTTGCCCTTCTTCTGTCTCCTTTCTTCAATGCCTGCTGAAATCCTAAACCTGCTAGCCCTGACACTCAGGACCTTTCTACTGAACACCCCACCTCCACCCGCTAGTGCAGCTGCTTGAAGATTTCCATCACTCAATCTACCTTCCTCCCTCCCTTCCTCTTCTTTCTTGTTCTCTCTCTATCTCTTTGAGTCAGGGTCTCACCTTACAGCCCAGACTGGCCTGGAATTCACGACTGAAGCCCAAGCTTCATCTGAAATCACAGACATATGCCACCACACTTGGCAAGAAAACTGACCTTAAAGACATCATTATGTCTGACACGTCACCTTCTCAAATGGAGAATCTGAGCATAAAGATCTTAAGTAGCCTGTTGATGAAGCAAAATTAGAATCCAAGATTGTTGATATCCAAAATACTGTACCACATACCAGGAGATGCTAAAGAATGGTTGTGTTGGGATGAAGGGGATGGAGACTGCAGATGACCAAAGGCAAGTCGTTTTAACCCCCCCCCAAACAAAACATCTTATATTAATCATTGACAGCCCAACTCTTAACAATCTTCATTTGATCAAAACTGAAACACAGGGACCCACTGCCTTTCGATTGTCTCTCAACCCTGTCCTTTCATCCCTGTAGGCATTGCAGTCAACTCTCATGACCATGCCTTACTTAGACTTCTCCCAGGTTTAGTCTTGCTGGCTGACCATACTCATGGCATGACTATGGTTGGACAGATGAACACCCATTTGTGGCAGCCAGTTGTATGTAGCTCTTTCCATCTGACCAACAAGCATCCAGCTTCTCTGGTACTTTCATTGCCAGCGGATTGTTACACATAGTATCTTCTTTCCCATTTTCTCTTTGGGCAGAAAACCTTCTATTGAGGTTAAATTCAATGACTTGGTAGCATTTGTGATGTGGTAAGAGGACCTTCTGTGGAGTGGTGAGAACAAAGATGGACTAAAGTGGACTTAAGAGAGAGGAATTGAGAGAGAGAGAGAGAAAGACAATTTCTCCCAGAATTTTATGGCAGAGGGACCAAGGGAATTAGCAAGGGGTCAGGATCACCCTTTGGATGTCAGCAATCCAGCAGTAAATGAAACCCTGCCGGCGTCACCTTTCAGTCTGCAGAGTCCTCATGGTCAGCCCAGCCCCAGCCTCCAGAAGCAGATCTTGGAATGAGAAGGCTAGACTCCATGGGGGAAATCTGCAAAGATGAGTAGGGATTTCTTCTCCATCTCAGAGCATCTCTGCCCCCTCCTCCACTGAAGAAGAGTTTGTAGATGAGGTCTAGATTACCCTTTAGACACTACCCAGTTGGATAATCCACCTTTCTTTACCTTTGTAGTTTTCTGAGAAATTGTTCCTTTGACTCAAACTCAAAGCCAGGAATGACCTGGATTTTTGTTAGTCTTAGCAGAGGGGCTTAGCCTTCACCAGTGTATTAGCCGTATTACTCTACACAGCCCCAGGGATGAATCTCTTCTCAGACTATGACATTGAAAGTAGTCTAGCCCTTTAAGGCAGAGCTTTGGGAAGAAGAAAGGTGGGCAACCTTTCCAGTGGGGACTCTGAGGGCAGGAAAGTAGGCGTGTGTCTTTGCAGCCCCATGCGATCCATATCGTAGCTCTGCTGTGTTGCAAGCCTTGTGAACAATCCTACTGGATGGTGGGGTTGCCTTTCAAGGGTAGCCTACTTGTCAGACTCTAGGACTATTGGCTGACATGAGAGAAGTGTTGTAGTTAGCGTCTAGAGGACACTCCTTTTATTTACTGCTTCAGAAATATTTAGGGAGGTCACAAGAGTTAAAAGACCTTTTGACTAATTATTGATTCTCCCCATATTTAGTTTCCAATTATTTATTATTATTATTATTATTATTATTATTATTATTGGTTTTTTGGCGTCTTTGATTATTATTATTATTATTATTATTTTGGTTTTTTGATACCCAAATGAAGCCCTGGCTGGCCTGGAACTCACTGTGTAGCCCAGGCTGGTCTCCAACTCACAGAGAGATCTGCCTGCCTCTGTCTCTCAAGCACTAGGATTAAAGGATTATGTCACCACACCCAGCAATTTTGGTGGGGCTTGTTTGTTTATTTCTTTGTTGGTTTTTGAGACAGAGTCTCCTAGTAGCACCAGCTGGTCTGGAACTCACTATGTAATCTAGGCTGGTCTATATCTCACAGAGATCTGCATACACCACCACACCCAGCACATCTGGCAATTAAAATAATTTTTAAATTATCTTTGTGCATGACGGGGGGAGGTCAGAGGTTAGCTTATACAAGTCAGTTCTCTCCTTCTACCAGGGATTGAACTCAAAGTATCAGGTTTGGCAGCAAGAGTCCTTACCTGCTGAGCCATCTCACCAGCTCCTATTTAATTAATTTTTGAGATAAGGTCTTGATATATAGCCCAGGATGATCTTGAAAACACTATATAGTTTAGGTTAGCCTTGAACTCACTGTCCTCCTGCTTCAACCACTGAAGTATGGGATTACAGGATGTTTCTTTTTACTATATTTTATTTATTTATTTATTTATTTATTTATTTATTTATTTATTTATTTATGAATGATGTGTATGAGTATATTGTCTGCATGTGTGTAAGTGCACCCATGTTATGCAATGCCCACAAAGATCAGAAGAGGGCATCATATCCCCTGGTACTGGAGTTATGGATGGTTGTTAACCACCATGTGAGTTAACATGTGAGTTCTGGGAATCAAACCCTGGTCTTCTGCAAGAGTAGCCAGTACTCTTAACTGCTGAGCCATCTCTCCAGCCCCAGGATGTTTCTTTTTGATTGATGTATTAGCCTTAAACCTAGGGATCTC